TGGTAAGGTTAATCACAAAGCATTTGGTAGAGGTAAAAGCTACAAGATTACCTCTGTCACACAATTGTGACACACTTATTAGGCTATATTTCAAGCCATCTATCAGGTAGACATTCTCTATGGAATGAGAATCTGTTTTGCCTACCTTTCCAACCCCAATGATCTCACCTTTCTTTCCATCACCAAAGGAGACATTACCTTATTTTAAGTCCTCAAGTGAAAGGAACTGGTCCTTGTTCCCAGTCATATGTTTTGAGCAGCCACTATCCATATACCATATTTGGCTCCTCCCTTTCACTTGGACCTGCAAAAAGAAATCAGGGGTTAGTCTTAGGAACCCAAACTAGTTTGGGTCCCTTTCTATAGGCAAAAGGATGAATCAAATTCCTTCTTTCCCACCCAGGCAGCTTGTTTTTCTCTTGAACAAAGACTTTGTTCTTTTGACTGGCCTTTTCTTTTGTATTACATTCATCTTTGTAATGGCCAGTCTTGCCACAGTGTGTGCAGATTTTATCTTTAGGAAGAGTGAGGTACTTGCTTTTAGGGTCCCATTTTGGAGCTTGAGTCCCATAGCCAAGTCCTCTTTTATTGCTATTATGATGCTCTTGCAGCCAAGAGAGTACTTCAGAAGCCTTGTTCCACTTGCAAGTTCTGTCTAGTTCATATTTCACCTTTCCTAGATCTTCCTTTAGGACTTTGATGAATTCATCTTTCTTATACAATTCATTTTTCATTTTTCCCAAATTTTCTTCTAGAGTGAGATATGTGTGATCAGCTTTCTTCTTTCCTGTTCCTAGTTTTAGTTTTAAGTTTTCAGACCTAAGTTTAAGGACACTGTTATCAAGTTCAAGAACCTGGTTCTTCAATTCAGCATTTGTGTTATAACTCTCATTAGCCCTATACTCTAGACTTTTGCATTTTGCTTTTAGGATCACACATTCCCTAGACAGAACTTCCTTCTCATTGTTAATTATCTCAGACTCATCAATGAAGTCTAGTAATAGCTCAGCCAACTTTTCTTTAGACAAAAATTTAATCTTGTCTTTGAGATGAATGATACTTACCTCTTGTTCATCATCTGATTCTCCGATGGCCATCAGTGCTTGCTCTTCTTCAGCTTCATCTTCTGAGTCTTCATCTGAAGTTTCTCCCCAAGCAGCAACCATAGCCTTGGTTGAACCTTTGTCCATTTTTGGTTGAACCTGTTCCTTCTTCCTGTTCCTTCGTTCAGCCATTTCTTTCTTCTACTCGATTTCCCATTGAGGGCAGTTCTTGATCATGTGATCAGTCTTACCACACTTGTAGCAACCCTCATTGATCTGTTTCTCAGGAGATCTTGACTTGTTGAAGGTTGTACCTCTTGAAGAACCCTTTCCTCTCATCAGGTACTTTTTGAAATCTCTAGTGATCATAGCCATTTCATCATCTTTCAGATCTGAACCTTCAGCAATTCTGAGAGCTAGGCTTCTCTCCTTCTTGGGTGTATTCATCTTCATGGTTTGCCTTCTCAGTTCATAAGCAGTAAGATTTCCAATCAGTTCATCCAGTCTGAGAGTAGCAATATCCTTGGATTCCTGAATGGCAGTGATTTTGCTTTCCCATGAGACTGGCAGAACCCTTGTCAGGATTTTCTCAACCTTGTCTTCTTCAAGAATAATCATTCCAAGAGACTTAAGTTCATTTGTCAGTGTAGTGAACCTAGTATACATCTCTTGGATAGTTTCTCCTTCCTTCATAGTAAAATTCTCATATTAAGAATACAACAGTGTTCCTCTGGATCTTTTCACTTGAGGTTTTCCTTCATGAGCCACTTGTAAAGTGTCTCATATCTCCTTAGTAGTAGTACAACTTTGGATCCTACTGTACTCATCTTTACCTAGTCCATACACAAGCCATTTCTTGGCCTTAGCATTTATCTCCCACTTCTATAGGTCTTCAGCAGTGTAGTCAGCCCTTGTCTTTGGAACATCCACTCCTTCCTCATTTTTCATTGTAGTTGCCAAAGAACCATCAGTGACTACGCCCCAGAGTTTATAGTTTTCTCCTATGATGTGATTCTTCATCCTGTTCTTCTACCAAGAGCAGTACTGTCCATTGAACAGTGGAGGCCTGGCAGTGGATTGCCCTTCCCAGTTCCAGGTGGTGCACTCATGTTGATCTTTTCCTAAGGTGTTAGCCTCTTCAAGGATAACCTGCTCTGATACCAATTGATGTTCTAAACATTAATACCACACAAGAGGGGGGGGGTGATTTGTGTGGTACAAAATTTTTCGATCAAGAAGAACCTGGTTCTTCTAGGTGTTCTAACTACTACTATTGCAGAATTAAAACTACAGAAAATAAAGAACACAGAGATTTTAACGTGGAAAACACCTGGCTCAAAAGGTGAAAAAACCACGACCTACTACTCAGTAGGATTTTCCCAAACATCCACTAAAATCACTAAGCCAAAACAGCATTTACAAAACCTCTTTGTAAACCTAAGGATTAACTCTAATCCCTGTGTAGCACAGAGCCTCAACTATTGCGACACCTTCAAGTTAGCCTATAACTTGAACACTCAAAGTACCTATTACAAATGCTTCTATGAAAGCTAAAAAGGTACAACTTTAAACCACTTACTACAATTGAACTAGAATAAGAATAAACACAACGGAACTGGTTCTTCTATCTCGTTCAAGTAGCTTCAGGTGTGCACACTTAAATCTCACATAAATTGCTCGCAAAATTGCCTAGCTCGTTTGCTCTCAATTTAGTTTAACTTCTGCGTATGTGCAACACTTGTAAAAGAGAATAATCACTGTTATTTAATGAGTTAGTAATCAGAGTTTGATTGAGACTCAATTGCTGATCTTCCATCGAAGTTGAGTCCTTGTACAATACAAACTCCAACCCTATCCTTTATCCGGATTGTGTCCTCTTCCCATAAGGAGACTTTCTCTCCTCATCCAATATGCAAACTTTTCGATCTGTTCAGGAGATATTGCTGCTTGATCACTGAGACTTATCTCCTTCACGTGTATCTCAAATGTCTAGGTTGATAAATACTGTGCCTCACATGATGGACCTGGTCCATGACTGAGTTCATTTGTCATTCTTCAAAACTTCACCTGAAATCATCAATAATCAACAAACATATTCAAACTATTAAGATCATAATCTTCATAGAACAAGAGAAACAGCAGTTGTCATTGATAAGATATGTTTCCACCAATAAACCGCAAAAAGAAAGAAAAACTTCCAAAACATGAGCAAAAAAAACAGAAAAAGTCCCTAATCTGGGTCATTGGGGGTACTAGACTGGTTCAGAAGACAACAACTGGACATCCTAAGGCTTGGAGGAACTAGAGGCTGGGTTTGGAGAAGGTTGAGCATATTCTGAAGCATCCCATCACTCTTCTCCTTTTCTTTTGCTAGCTCAGTTCTAAGGCCATCTCTTTTAGTTTCCAGTTCAGCTACAGGAGCCTGGAGCCTAGCAATTTTAGCATCCTTAGATCCACATTCTTGAACCAAAGCCCTAACCTTGCTGTTCACAGGTGTCTTCAGAGATGAACCAGGTTCAACTAGGGTGGCATTGACTGTATAGTCACAAGCCAGAAGAGTCTTGACGCCAAAGTGTTCCTTGCATGATGTCATCTCCCATTTCTTCAAAGGCACATTCAGCCTGTCTAGAACAGTAGTCAATATGAACCCATATGGGGTGGCATGAGCCTTGGAGCCATTTATGACCCTGTCCAGTAATTTGACAATAAAGGCAGACCAATTGATCTGCATTCCTATCACAAGGCACTCCATAAGAACCAGGTTCATGTAGTTGGCAGTGTGCCTCCTCTCGTGTCTAGGCAGCAAGCACTTGTTAACAAATTCAAACAGGACCTTGTGCTCAGGCCTCATCTCACTTTTCTGCACAAACCTGGCAATTTCTATGTACACACTTTTCGATGAATACAAATGTCTTAAGCCGACAATTTCTATATACACACTTTTCGATGTCTAAATTAACATTTCTCGATGTGGACCACTTATAAACACTCTTTTATCTTACAAGTTTAGATCTGTTTATAGAAACTATCCAACATACACACACGCACACACATATTCATATATCTTCATTGTTTTGCGCCTTTTTACACTAAGGTGTGTGTTGCTTAATGGTTAAGTTGCACGATTTAATTGTGCTTTAAGCATTAAATCCCAGCAAACTTTGGTGCTTTCTATGATTTTCGCGTTTGCTACAGTATTATGAATATAAGAACTCTTTGCTCAAAATCTTAAGAGGCAAAATAAAGATTCTCAACTAATCCCCCCAAAAAAAAAGATACTCAAAAATATATAATTTGGGATATTACATTGTATAAACACTGACATCAAAAGGGGATAATTTGGACTGTCCAATAATGTGAATCTGCGACTAATACCATAGATCTAATCTTGCTTACAGCAATAATAAATTGGTTTGGATTCTCTCTACCTACTAGTAGTACGACAAAGATGGCTAATAGTAATAATAATAACAATAAATAGCTTGTACATTACAAAACAATAACAAAGAGATGATCAAGTCTGATAAGTCTTAAGAAATAACTCATAAAATGTGTTTTATAACTAAGAGAAAATTCCAGTTTTATGCTTTCTAGGGCCGAGGACAAGTTAATGACATCGCACAGCAGGACAATAGTTCTGCTACTTGACTGAATAAGCACTTAAAGTGCCACACATGTATCATATACATTGCATAAAGGCGCACCGAAACAATTCACAATATTATAGCCTCAAAAGCAATTCTTATACCTATAAGACAGAGAATGGCTGTTAATGCCAGATGATGCATAGACAATCAAAAATCATTACGAAATTTAAGCTTATTTTGATCTTCTGCAAGTTTCTTATACTAGGCATCAAACTCTAAAGTGTTTACAACCTGTAAAATACCATCTCTTTCAGTGAAGTGCTTTCTTGAAACACCAGCTTAAATTTCAGATAATATTTGGGAAGTAGAAAAATCATTGCAGAATACCTCTTGAGTGGCCACCAGTGTTATAAAAAGCCAATCCCTTTGTCGTTTAAAGAGATGAAGCAATGCGAAGCAAGGAGTTATCGCTTCATTACTGTAACCATGCGCTTCATAGAACTTTGCAGTTCAAACAACGACACGCAAGGTGATATTTATAAGAAGGGGTAATGTTCTTTGAATCTCAACTTTGAAGAGTAAGATTAATACCAATGTTATTGTAAATCAGATACTCAAATTAATTACTATAATTGCAGGTTAATCATTATAGTAGTGAATTCATAAATGTTTGGTATTCTTTTAGTGTCGTAAATTCTGCGCTTCACTTCTCGCTTTTCACTTAAAAGTCCTAGATATCTCGTCAATTTTTTGTGCTTTTCGCTTTTAAAAACACTGCTAGCCATCACCTTTCATAATGGTAAAATACCATCAAGGAATGCTTTGTGCCTATCCAATCATGGTATTTTATGCCTTGATGAATTTAATATATCCAACTAGTTGAAGGCCTAAAATACAAAGAATCATTGTGTTAGGGCCATGCTACTCATCTGAGATTTTGCTTCAAGCTTTCAATGGAGACACAGTGAGAGGAGCAAGCAACAGATTCTTCATAAATACTTGTTCTCAACCTAGAGTGTGATGTCTGAAATCAGAGGACTCTATCCAATTCATAAGTTATATTTGGTGGAGTAACTCAACAATAGCATTTGCTTTTTAGACAGTTATGAAGCAAAATAGTATTGAACCATGATAAAAGTAACTTGTGCAGATATTATAACAAATTTGGCACATAACCAAAAGTGACATTCTCAGGAGGTTTCTTTTGCTTACTGGTTTAAAGCAATGAATGTAGTTCCGGAGAAAATGCAGTGACATGCCAGAGAATTAAATACCAAAGAAGGAATATTAGGAGGGAAAAGAGGAGAAGTTACAGTTAAGAGTGAGCGAAACAACGAATGGGGAGAAATGAGCATCAACCTACAGTATGTTTCAACCACAACAATGCTAGGCACAACCTGCAATGAAATGATAACATGATATTAAGCATTCACAACTAGTACAATGAACCTTCAAAAGAAAAAGGGAACGAGGAAATACTAGCTTGCTCCCAGTCAGAGTGGAGATAGTATGATAATAAAGCTGCAGTAAATGTGAACGGATAATAACTCTTCCATATGACATTATCAAAGCAAATAAAACCACAAGAAAGAGTGGACAAGGGAGACCTACAAATCCATTCATAAAATCTCATAGTATTACTTATGAGTTCTCAACTTTTTATACATATAGAAGGCATGTAGATGAATTGATCAGTGATTTTTAGATTCTCTTGAGAAATTTTTTCTTTTATTTTTACTTTTGGAAAAGACCAACAGGAGGAAACCATAGTAAGTACCTGTCCAGAAAACATTGATTCTTCCATCTGATAAGCCAGTTTCAAGCACAAATTTGTGGAAAATCCTGATAACAATGATATTGGCAGCGGACTAACTTCACGCATCACCACTAATCTCTTGTTGGACTGCAAATTTGGTCCAGGTAAAAACTCAGTAACCCCAGCAGAGGTTAACTAGTGCATCACAGTTTCACAAGCAGGCTGGGCCATTGTGTAGGATACAATCCAAAACATCCCAACTGATCTATCATCCAAATTCATATAATCCATCATGCGTTCTCCTGATTTTATGGAAATGAAAAAAAAATGATAATCAAAAGCCATCTCAAAGGAGAAGGGTTTGGATAGGTGAAGTAATACTCGATAGCTAGAAACTGAAGAGATGCCCAGTTTCATCCAAACCTAGTATAAACATAAAGACCTCTCTATCTTCACTAGAATTGACTGCATGAAAGCACAACAGAGAAGAGAGAAGACCCCTCTCTGACTCACATAGATGGAAAAAGGTTCGAGAAATATTAAAATTTAAGAACATAAGCTCACCAGCCACACGAATAGACTAGGACCCATTGAGAGGGCTGCATACCCATTCAACCCAAGTAGGTTCTGCTCAGTTTCTCATGAGTTACCAAACTAAAGCCTACCTAGAGCTCGACTAGACACGGAAAGTATCTTCAGATTGGGTTCAGCAGCTTGATTGCTGCTTGCCCTTGAAAAAGAGGTACTCCAACATTGCACGAGAAAAAAATGACACTTGAAGAAAATATCAAATGATGGTTGAAAAGTTAGTTTGATTAACGTAACAGAAAAAGGCCAACTATACCCCCTGTACTATTGAAAAATGTTTGAATATATCCTCTATTGCACTATGTGGTTACTTCGCAGCTTACTATTATACTATGGTACACATATAACCTTATTTTGGACTAAGTGTTACATGGCTGCACTAGATTAAAAAGACCTATCCATTTTTTAACCCGATTCACTCAAACATTATCCATTACCCGACCCAAAGTCCTCCGAACTTAAGAAAAGCCTCTGAACGAAAAAAGAACCCTTATATCAATTGATAAGGAAGAAGAGCATGATCACGATTGCGCCAATCGATTTCTTCCGATAAATCGAATGAGACGGGTGACTTGACCATCGACGTCCTTTTCCCTAAACTGGAATCTTGTGGCATTGTTGGAATAACACATACGGACTACTTCGGCTGCAACATCAGCAGCTTTACTGGTAATTTAGGAAAGTTGATTTAGCCCCATGCCGCTCACCATTGTTCTGTTAAAATTAGAATGTACAGAGAAGTTAAATCAAATAGTTTTGCCTACTTTCCATGATGTTGATCCTTCTAAAGTGCGAAAGCAAACTGGGCGCTTCGGTGAAGCTTTGGCTATACACAAGGAACAATTTGGGGTTCAAAGCATTGGGAAATGGACAACTACAAGGTGGGTGTAACGGTGAAGTAAGAAGGAAGAAAAGGGAGAAGATTTCAAAATCCAAATAAAAAAAGGAATTTGAGATTCCAACAGTAATTTGATATTTTTTCGGTCTTCATTTTTTTGCGTAATGTGACAAAGGGGGAGAGGTGAAATAAGGGTTCTTTTTCTTTCAGGGGCTTTT